TGTGGTAGATTATCTAGTGGTCAACTTGGAAAATCCATTTGAACTGAGCATGGTGTTAGGTGTGGAGGCCCACCTGAGGATTGTTGCCAGCAACATAAAAAGAGAACTGGAGAGGAAGATGGTGCTATTGCTCCTCTTAGATAAGCTTGTCATGCTGGCTTTCTTTCAGTTGTTCTCATCATCAGAGGAGCTTGCATCTTCACTGTTGCTGAGAAGGGATGCAGTTCTCTTTGGGGGAGCTCTGGCCCCTACTCTGAGCATTGCTTCCTGGCTCTAGTACAGCTCTCTCAACCTGGTAGCACAGACCCTTCATCCCACTGGCACATACTTTTAGCTTCCACCACTGGCCTTTGGGCCTTCCCCGTGCAGAACCTTGATACAGACTTGCATGAGGCCTTGCCATGGGCTTAATGTCTCCAGCTGGACTTGTGCAGAACGCTGTCATAGAATCCAGTCCCTCAGCTCAGTTCTTTGGGTTTCTAGCATGTGGGCAGATCTCTTGCACTGCATTTGACTTTTGGGTGAATATTATAATCTATAAATTATGTGTCCTGTATTAAATCTATTCTCTTGCAAACCCTGACTACAATAATAAGGATCTTATTTGAATGCTGTTTCCAAAGATTGATTTCATTAGTTTGAATGCTCACTTAATTACATATAATTTCATTATTAATTTTTATAGGATTATAATATGTCTCAATGTCTGGAGAGAAAATCTCTTCCTATCAGAGACTTAATGTTTAAAAAGTTTGTTGGAATTCTTTTGTTTACATTTCTGGATGAGTTTTAAAATTTCCTCAAATTGGGCCAGATGAGATAGTTCAGTGGTCTAAGTGCCTTCCTGGTAAGTGCAAGAAACCAAGTTCGATCCCTGGTACCGCATGCCATGTTGGCCCTGGAACCCCCGGCATGCCATGCCAGCCACTGGATATAGGAAGGGTGGTGCATATCTGTAATCCCAACACTGGGGAGGCTAAGGCAGGAGGACACTGTGAGTCTGAGCTGCATAGTGAGACCCTGTATCCAATAAATAAATTTTTAAAAATAAAAATAGAAGAATTTCTTAAAATTATTCACCGAGAGATCTGATTTCTGTTAAAATATCTTAGTGACGAGTTTAATAAAAGACCCACTGATATTAGGATATACTTCTACAATGATTTTAAAGGAAATGACATTTGTAAAATGCTTAGATTTCCTATTTGTGATTCTCTTTTGTATCTTTTGGTAAAGCTTTGTGAGAAATGCCTTCACATAGGTTCTTTTCATTTTCTGTAAAAGTTATTTCCAGCTATTTCATAATTTTTATGGTACTCTAAAGTTTTTGCTTTTGAGAAAACATAATAAAATATTTTTTTGCCTTAACCATTCCTATTTTTGCTGGAATAAATCAATAAACATCCATCAAATTACTACTTCTACAGAATTAAGCCACAGAAACAAGTCTCATAAGAACATTACATAACTTGCACTGGTTTAGTGGTATTCAAATAATCCTACTGTTAAAACAAGATATAGCATCTAGCTTTAAGGATTTCTTGGTGTATGAGTATTCATGCTCTTTCTCACCATCTTTCTCTCTGTATCTCTCTTTCTCTCCCCATCATAAACATTTTGAATGTAAATATAATCGATCCCCACCCATATTAAAAATAATTGATAATAAATGCTTTTGTTCATTTTGTTTTTTAATTTTTATTCATTGTGTTGAGAAAAAAGATAGAATAGTGATGAAACAGTTTCAATACAGGTTAGTAGAACGTTTATAATAATTAATATGTTGCATATTGTTGTCTTCATAATTTGTTTTGTTTCTTGACACAAGGTCTCACTATGTAGCCCAGGCTGATCTTGAACTCACAGTGATTCTCCTGCCTCAGCCTCCCAAGTGGTGGGATTACAGGCATGCACCAGCACATCCAGCTTTAATAAATGTTTTTTTTTTTGGGGGGGGAGGACAAATACAAACCTACCTAATGTACCTTAAGACCACCTCATAAATTTGGTCAACTGCACTATTATTAATTTGCTCATATAGTCATCTTTGCTTAATATAGGTCTTATTATGAATATGAAATATAACATTTGAAACTCATTGAAATCCACTGTGTAATTTGTAACATAAGCAACAAGGAAGAAAATTATTTTTAGCCAAAGCTGGAAAAGCAAAGGTATATTATTTTTGATAAAGTTAACATTTCTATAACTGGGACTAAAAAAGAAAAAATAGAAGCTCACTCTTAGGTAGGAAACAAGGTACCATTTTCTGAAATATCCATGTTTTCCAATTTGAGACTTAGAAAGGTCTCATGAAAGTTAACATATCACAGCGGAACGTGCTTATTGGAAGGAAGTACATGAAGAAGTAATTTGAAAAAATAGCATGAGATTTTTAGACAGGTTTTATATCTTGAAAAAATAATGACAAAGTACTATGGATTCTTGATACCCATCTCAGTGTTTGAATCCTGCCGTGAACAGAATATAATTCATCTATCTCAAACCATTCTTGCTTCTGAATGACCCATTTCTTCTTATTGTGTTTCCAATGAAACAGCAGTGCAGCAGCTCTGTTATTTTAATGGCTCATCTATAATGAGTTGCTTTCTCTGCCTTGCTTCAGTGTAACCAACAATGTTCTGCCTTCTTTCAGATTATCGTGGCATATTTTATAAGAACAGGTAAACTTACTTTGGGAGGAGAAGTGCAAAACAAAACACTTCTTCCTGTAATTTTATAAAGACCAAAATTGTCTATAAGCATAACAAGTTGCATGCATAAAAACAGCAGAGTACAATTAAGCATTTAAAATATAACTATTACACAATTGTTTTAAATATGTACAATGGAATGCAAATAATATCTTTTATATCTATCTTATTAATTTGTAAGAAAAGGAATTCTGAATAGAATTTTGATCTTGTGCCCAAGGCATAGTCCCACAAGAAGGCTTTAAGGGACATAGGCACCTTTTCTCTATAAATTGGCAGAAATTACCAAATTGGCATAGGAAAAGATACCAGGCATGGTACCTAGCAAAAGCGCATGTTCTCAGGTGGTTTAATTTTTTTAAAAAAACATATATATATATATATATATATATATATATATATTCTTGGAAAAAATCTTCCTTTCCACCATACATGCCATGTACCCAACTTCAAAGTACACTCTGACAGATTTTCTGCACCACTATTTTTTTTCACTAGGAAGAACAACCTGATCCATTTGAAACTACACCATCCTTTCTTGAGCAGAAAGTATTATGTATTTAATCTGTATGACAGCCATGTGATGTGGGTTTTACTATACTCATTTTACAGGTGAAAAAAAAGTGACACAATGGTTAATTTCCCCAAAGCCACAGAGATAGTGAGCTGAGTAGCAGGTATTTGAGCGCAAGTGACATACTGTGAAACCCATTACTCACATGTGGTGCTTGTTTCTAGTTCAATCTTTTATTTTTTGCTTTTACATTTCTAACAAACCAAGTCCCATAAAGTCATGCAATAATATTGAAACTTGTTTCCCAGATTCATTAGCTTATTTATGTTTCAGCAAACAGCCCCTTTACATATACTGGAGTTTACAACGCTACTACTGATGTGTGACCAATCTCACTGTTTTGCTCTAAGGTAGGGCACACAGAACCTGATCAAGGCCACAGCATCAATACTAATATACAGCAGAGCTGAGATTCCAATGGAGTACTATTTGGTTCTGACGTGCTCTGAATTACTATAAGAAACTGCTCCCCAAAAGCAGATTTGGCAGGCCCACAAGCTCATCTGCATTAAAGGATGAATAAATGATGGAAATCAAGTGGAGGGTGATAGGAAGAGCAGGGCCAGAGGGCAAATGAAGACAAGGGCTGGTGGGGCAGCGTAGCTCAGCCACTGCCCATGTACTGGCTGCAGAGCAGGCTAGCCAGTCCTCCATGTGGTCTAGAGGGAACAGAAGATAAGAGCTTTAGGAGAAAACTTAAAATTGTCAAATGTCTGTGATCAGTGAAAAATACACATACAATTTTTACCTACACACATTCTGGGAAGACTGAATATGGGACTTCTAATGTAGATGGGGGGGGGCGCTATTTCCCACATGGAGTTGACTGAACCTCCACACAGCCAATTCCTCTTTAATGCACTTAAATACTAGGGTGGTATTGACATTGTTGCTGATTTTGGAGACTTGGACTTTGCCACATGACTAGCTCTCTATCCAAATTACAACTTCACCTTTAATCTAACAATATTTACAGAGAAAAATGGTTAACTATACACACTCTTAAGAAGCTTTCAAACTCTTAAGAAACTAAAACTTGAAAAGCAGTGCAAGAGCTGCTTCCTTTGTGGAGTCACAGCTTAGACCCACCCTAATCTACAACTCTGCTCAGGACCTCTGCCCCTGAGCTCTGCCCCTCTGTTGTACTCCCCCACTGCTCACCAAGTTCACAATATCCCCAGGGCCAGAACAACTCCTGGCACAAGGCAGGCATTTAATATATATGGGGCTTTGCTGCTAAATAACGAGACAGTGCTTATATCTGCTCTCCCATGATGCCATCTTTTCCTGTCCTAGTTTGAAACTGTAACCAGGATGTTTTCTGGTGACTACTCAGAGCTATGGAAGCTACAGAAATAAAGATCTCTATTTAAATATTTATATCCACTAGATAGGAGCTATACTTGTGGGTGGAACTGTTGTCACAGAAAACCAAATTTATCATCTTAAAGTATGTGAATTCTTATATAACTATACCATTTTTTGTCTACTGGCCTCACTGACAGGCTTAGTTTTTCCAAAATAATGATATATACTATTATCAGATGGTAAATCACACTCCAATTATACATTCAAATCTAGTCCTTTAATCCTTAATACATTAAAAATCCCATCCAGTATCTTTATCCCTTGTACAACTGCTATTATACCCAATAAAACAAATATTCTAAACACATAATGAAATGGAGTCTGATTTTCAAGCAATCAATTACTTATATTCGCTGCTGTAGGTGGTGAGCTCACTGTCATTGTGCATCCATTTGAATTCCAAAGGCCAGCTCCCTTCAGCAAGGCAGGTGAGGACAAGGCGATTCCCTTCCAGGTGAATCTGCGGCAGGCCTGGCTCCGTTTTAAAATAAGGTGCAACATCATCTGAGGTAATAAAAACAGAAAGAAATAAAACTGAATGACGTATGCATGAAAATAACAAGCAATGGATTCACAAAGAAGCTGTTTTAATAGATCTAATTTTAAAAAGTCAAAATTATGGCTATTTGGTCAATTAAAGAGTAAAGACTTGCTGGCCCACTAGAAATATGTAACAGTCCAGCTGTTATTTCTAAAGCCCAAAAGCTCAATAATACGACAATTTAAAAACATCTAACATGTTTGTATAAGTTCTTTCTATTTATGATTAATGCCACTTATCAAAGGCATAGGCCGGGTAATACCTGCTCAAGCAAGCTGTTGGTTTTAACTGGGAAATCTATTTTCAAAGTTGCAATCAATGTTGTTCAAAGCAACAATCAAGACTATAAAACAGAAATTTCTTCATATAAACATCAATTTTTAAAAAGTGACAAGGATAAGCTACATTGACATGTACAAAAATAACACGACTTGCAATCTAACTTTCATTTCATACACATACATAAGTTGCCTCTTTTAGTGATTTTTCAATGAGATGTAAATCAGAAAACCTACATTATATTTATACAACACATAGTAGAATACTATACAGCTATGAGAACAAATCAGCTACTCTATTCACAGTAACATGGATGAGTCTCACATATACTAGCTGGAAGTTAAATCATTACTTAAATCCAGATAATCTGGCTCCAGAACCCCAAATTTCTACATAGTACAATTCTCACAGAATTGTCATAGAATTCTCAATAGGGGAACTTAATGCTCAAGGATTTATATATACCTTCAAAATTTTATAACTTATTTGTAGAGTTACTAACCTAGATTTTCAAATCATATTACTAAATCTTTAACAAATTAAGTATTAAATGGAATAACAGTGCTAAAATTGAAAATATGTTAAAAATGTAGTTGCACAGGAGACGGTTGCATCTACACTAATACCAAGTACAGTACATAGAGTTTAAATATACAGTTAACTCTACCATATCCACAATTTCCACCTCTGCAGACCAAACCAACCTCAGATAAAAAATCCTCAGAAAATAGGGCCGGCCAGATATCTTAATGGACTAAAGTGCCTGCTTAGGCAGGCTCAGGGACCAAGGTTCAATCCCTGGCATGCCATGCCGGCCCTGCCCCCAGGGCACACTGAGAAAGTGACTGAGACCGGGCATGGTGGTGTGCACCTGTAATCCCAGCACTTGGGAGGCTGAAAATAGGAGGAACAAGTACGATCTGTATAGTAAGGCCTTGTAGATCCTGTACTAAATGCATTTAAAAAAATCCTCAGGAAAAAAATGTTTGTTCTAGACTAAGCATGGTGGTACACACCAAAAATCCCAGTGCTATGGAGAGACTAGGACAGGAAGATTACAAACTAAAGCCCAGCCCAGGCAACTTAGTGAGATCTTGACTCAAAATAAAAGTAAAAAGGAAAGGGGACATAGCTCAGTTCAAAGGACTTGGGTTCAAACTCCAGTACTGCTCCCCCAAAGTCCATACTCAGCATTTGCAGATATTTTTTCTTATAATTCCCTAAACAATACAGGTTATCAACTATTTACACAGCGTTTCCTTGTATTAGGTATTACATCAAATCTAGATTTGATTTAATATGATTGGGAAGATGTGAACAGTGTGAGCATCTGTGGATTTGAGTATCTGCAGGGGTCTCCTGGACCATCCCCCAGCAATAGCAAAGACCAACTACATAGAGTTTGTCTTTTCTTTATCACCATATTTCATCATAATTGGTATATTTTTAATAGCAATCATTTACTATGTTCCATCCATTTATTCACTTAACTACAAAATGTTAATTTGTATTTGTGCAGTAAAAACCTAGAGGAAAGCCATTTTATCTAGTCAATGAAATTGAATGCAGGATCTGTAGGAGTCAAGACTCAGGCAACACTCAGACCCAGTTATGGGAACAAACACAGTGGGTAACCCTGAGAAGTACAAAAGACAGAAAAAACAAGCCTTATTGCAAGCATAGAGTGAGTGAATGAAGCAGGGTATGCAAAGCTCAGATTCTGTAGGGCGATAGCATACATCCTGCACAAGTATCAGCAGCACCTACTTCACATTAAAAGTTTTCTACCATGAGTGACTGATGATATCAGCATCCTGTGAATACTCCATAGTCAAAAGTAACACCAATATTGTGGTAATCATTACTTCTTCCTACAGAAGAAGAGCAGAAAACTTTCAAAATCATTTTAGCTATAATGTAGAAGATCAACTAAATGGGGACTAGAGTGGGTAGAGACCAATGTGGAGGTCACTGCAGGGAAACAGAAACAAATGCTGACAGGCAGCACAATCCCTACTGGCAGCAGGGATTGTAGTAGAAGAGATGGTAAGGAATAAACAACTTTAAAACTATATTTCAGTGGTAAAATAGATTCAGTGATGGAGTGGCTACAGAGGTAATGAGGAATGGGGTGTCCAGAGGAATCATAGGTCTCTGGCCTGCATGATTTTCTGGTCAATAAAACATACACTGATTCTATGTGCTAGGCCCTATAATCAGCACTGAGGATACAAAAAATAAGACACAATCATGATCCCTTAAAAGGTTATGATTTAAGTTTGGCACAGGAACATAAACACATAAGTGTTGGATGTTAAAATAAAATATGACACTTAATTGAGTAGGACCCATTAATCCAGATCCTACTGTGAGAATTCCATCTGTGTCTCTGACATGTGACATATTCTAAGCTGCATCTCAAGTGTATTCTTAGGTTTTGATTGTCAACGGTGTATCCAATTTCCCTTTTTACCATGTACTTCAGCTAAAACCATCTACTCTTATGGAATAAGTAGTGTAGTAAAGCTGAATTGCAATGAGTATAGCTTTGATACCTTGGGATTTATTGAGCTGCAGGTTTTATTAATGTCTTGCCATTTGAAGTCTCTGTAACAACAGAAAAAGAAATGCCACTTGCTAGAGTTCCAGTGTCCTATATGCATAAGTCATAAAAATATATTTCTTTGAAAAGAAAAAGCTCCAAGATAGAACCCCAAGAATTTGAATCTAGTTTTCAAATTGACAGCACATTAAGTTAATATAATATATAATGATTTTTAATTTAAATGATATAATAATTCTATTCTTCATAGAATTCATAGTCAACTAAGCATACTTATGTGAAATACAAAATTACCATGATGACTGCTATAATCTGTAGGAAAAAACTTTACATGGAATACTTTCCTACAGTTTGTAGGCAAATGTCACATGATTTAAATGACTACAAAATTAGGTTAGTGTACATGCTGCTGTTTAGTATACAAGAGGACAAATATTGTCAAAGTGCTAGGATTTTAAGTATCTAAATTAAAATTATCACCTCAAATATTTTAACATAGATTAGTAAACACAGAGAATAAAAGTTACCTTTCTGAACTTAACACTATTTCCTATTAAAAAACACCCAAAAAGATTTGGAGATCTAAAGTGGGCATAAAGATAACAAAACACAAATGCCTTGGAGAAAAAGAGAAAAAAAAAAGAAAGAAAGAAAGATGGATTAGTATTCAAGTGTGCACAAAACCCTTCAAAAGCATTTGATCTTTACAAACTTTATATATGGGACCCCAAAAAGCTTGAAAAGACCTATAAGAGCTAGAAAAGGAGGATGATTGAATTACTTCAAGATAATTAGTAAATTGTGACCTGGGGAAAAGCCAATGGACCACTTAATGCTAGGAGAGGTGTGTATCCATGTTTTAAATAATAAAAGATCTCCCTTTCCTGAGAGAAAACATGGAGAAAGTATTAAATACTTCTGCATTATCACAATGAAATTCTAAGACCCTAGAGTAAATTACCAAAGAAAACTATGAAATTTCTACTTTCACATGCTTTTAAGTAGAACATAAATCATTTATGTATAGAGAGTCGCAATTTACCTGGATAATACAGATTTAAAGTCTATCCAAAGGAGAACAGACTTAATGTTCTCTCAAGACATCATAATGTTAGGATGAAGTCACTTCCCTAAGTAGGCTTTTATGGTTCTCAGATATCATGGAAATGAATTTTTTACTTGTCCAATGCAAAGATAATCTGCTTTTCAAAAAGGGTACCTGATCCATGTGAAAGAGTTGAAGCGATTTCCATGTGGAGTTAAACTTGAGGTTAAGCCTGTCCTGTGGTCCAGCTTTCCTCACATGAGAAAGGGGGAACTTCCTGTGGATTTTAATGATCTGCTTCACAACAGAAAATTGAGACTCTATTGTAACCCTTTAATAGCACAAGGGATGGGAGCCAACTAGTAGGCACCAAGAACACCAAACTCCAAGCTATTCTTGTGACTATTGATGACAGCTTCAGCTAGAACAACTGTCATCTACTCAGTAACTTGTCTTTTTTCTCTATTTTAAAGCAATAATGAAAAATGAAATAATGATGATCAACCTCCACTTAGCAGAAGCATCAACCATACCACAAATAAGGGGAGATCTCAGCAGACAAATCCCACATGATCTGGCAAAGTGATGATGAAATTTATTAAGCCCCTGCAATCAGCACCATCAATCAGGTGAAACTTCAGTGGGGAGGATCTGGAATCACAGCATGAATGGGCAATCAGCTGGAGCAGGACCTTTCATTACTGAACTCTGCTTTTGCCACAGCTACATTTCCCAGGGTGACTAATCTTTCAGTTTAAACCACTAATCTTCCTTTCAAAACTTCTTTTTTATCAAATTCAAACATTTTTGTACCCTAAGCTTACAAATTTACCACTTACAAAAAGTTTTATTTTTCAAATTCTGGTGGGAAACAAAAGTGCAGGCCATAATGGATCATTTGTAAAAAACTCTTCTAAAAAATATGGGTAGAGGAACCCATTTTGGTAAATGTAATCATTCTAATTTCAACTGCTGGCAGTTCATTATGTATACCTATTGAAGCCAGGAATTTAATCTCACAGTATAATGTGCTTTCTTCAGAATAGTAATATTAATTAGAAGTAAATATTCATTTT